ATGTGTTGTGAGAAGTGGGTTGTTAGGCAGGTCCTCCATTGTGTGAATATCATAGAGTATACTTACACAACCCTCCATGGCACAGCCTACCTCACACCCAGACGTGACAGAGACTCTGCTCCTTATCAGACCACCATTGTACATACAGTTTGCTGGTAAATGAAATGTTCTTATGTGACACCTGCTTGTAATGTTTTCTGAAGTTCTTTTGCTTGTTAGTTTTTATAGGAAGGAGAAAGATTGCCAACAATTGGAGAAAAAGAAAATGGTATCGACATTATTGAACAAGAGCAAAGAAAGAAAGACGATTTAACTTGTGATAGAGTGCACAGAACATGTAGACAATGTAAACTAGTGAATACCTGAAAAAAATTTCAGTGCTTAAATGCTATTGTAAAAAACAGAAGTGTATAGCTCTATATATGACATTAAAAGTTTTTTTGCTACCTTTATTTATGTTACCAACCTCTTGAATCTACTCCAACATTCTGGAAAAAAGTTTTTCCTATTACTTTTATTTTATTGAAATTTTCATGAATGGCTATAGACATGCATATGTATTTTAAAATTATAGCAATAAATCATCTCATGTAATATACCTGTGATTACATTTTATAGCTGCAAGATCCAAATTCAGAATAGGAGATGATGAGGATACAGAATCAACTTGTGAGTGTGAGGTACTATCTATGTTATTATCATTTTTAAATATAAGCATTGAGTGAAGTTAAAATATGAAAAAGAATGTTTTTGTTTTTCTTTTTTACTTTTGTTTTTATGTCCATAAAGAATCATTTCTTTCCATTTTCACCTCATAATTAATAACGTAATGATGTGCTAATATTACTGCTGTATAGTACAATTGTCCTAATTTGCAAGACTCATTTAATGAAGTCAGTAGAGTAGTGTGCAGAAAACTAGTGCTTAGAGGTCATAAGAAGTCAGTTTAGTTTCTAAAGTTTATCTAAAACCTAAAGAATTATTCAATATATGGTCAGATTACGAATCTATGGTATATATGGATGTATAAAAGTCCTAATAACTAATGCAGTTAGAACACTCATGTGACTTTCTAACCTGGGATATGTTAAGTTTCGGTAGACAGTTACTAGAGTGTCCTATAGGAATACAGTGATTTGACACTTGAGACCTTCCTCCTGAGTTTTGTTTTGTTCTAAGTTTTCACGCTAGGGCACATATGCTTGCTGGAGAGAGAAATACAGAGGGAAAGTGAGAAATCACCCTACCACCCCAAGGTCTTCTCACAGTCCCTCCTTCTTCATTCTCCTCTAGAGATTTTGGGCATGCACGCACATGCACCCAGCATGGATTTTAAGGTGCTGGGTCCGGTATTCAAACCATGGTCAGTCATGTAGGATTCCATTGCTTTAACGCTTTAACCACTGCTCCACCTCCTGGCCCCTCTGAAGGAGATTTTAAATGGTTTGACCTTGAGTAAATTTGTTATTGAATACTAAGGATGTGCCTAGAAATTAGATACTGAATGTACAGGATGAAGGCTTATGATATAGAAGTATGGGTGGAAAAACAGTAGCAAACACTCAGGAAACAATATTAGTGTTTCAGAGAAAAAAAATGTTAGGTTAGATGATGCCGAGGGAGTTTGTAATTATGATGGGGATGGGGGTGGGAGTGTAATTCTCTAGTCAGAAAAG